GCCTCTGCCTCTGCCTCTGCCTCTGCCTCTGCCTCTGCCTCTGCCTCCCGAGTGCTGGGATTAAAGGCGTGCGCCAGCACCGCCCGGCTTCACATTTTATAACTAAGATTTTACCTAGCATTTTTCTTACGTTCCGTCTGATCAGCACCTTTTCCTGAGCTTACCTACAGATTTGCTATGAGTGCCTGAGCATCCAGATATGAAACTTGGGTTCTGTGATTTGAATTGCATTAGGTAACTACTCATCCTAGAAGACATACTCCAAGTGGTTCAGGACATCAGTGTGTTAGGGTAGTTGATCAGCACCCACCCCAGCAACTCATGCAGTTAGTGGTAGTAAGAGTGAACTCAGGAACGTGACCAACGGGCCACCTCCTTTCTAGTGTAGCTGCATGGTGGATGTGGAAATGTTTGTGCGTTTTTAGAAGCCCAGAAAAGCCTCCAAAAACAGTTACTAGTATTGATTAAACTTTCTTACTTTGCATTGTTCTAATCGCGATCAGCTGCCGCTCCTGCTCGCCCTCGTCACTTTCTCTTCTGCAATTCCTCTTTTGTTTCCTCTGTGCAAGAACTAACGTTCCTACACCAAGAGAGGCATGCCTGGCATGCTCTGTGTGTCCTGGTTTCCATTTCATAAAGATGTGCGATCACAGAGGATCTCCCGTACACATAAGACACACATGCTGACTCCTGAGTTACAGTCCACTCATCCTCTTTAACTCAGTGGCCTTTCTCCTCCGTAATAAATAACTAGGGCACATATTTGTGAATTAAAAATCACATTTGCTTGACTTACCCATGTTTCTGGGTGTCTGGTGTTCTGTGTGACTCCCTAGAAAGCAAGCATTGAAGAATAGTGGTGGAGTTTCTGGGAACTCTGGGGTTTGAAATCTGTGGACATTGCCCTACCTGTCCTTCAGAAACAAAAAGATAAGCCATTTCCTTCACCTCTCTAAGTTTTTGCTTTATATTAAATATAGGATGCGTCTAGATATGATTAGGGCTAATTTTGTGGTAAAGTTGAAAAACATTGTCGTAGAACTACGCTTTAACAAATTACTCAAAACAAACAGAAAAAAATCAAATATAGAAAATTTTCAAAAGGCACCCTTAACTGTATGATTAATTGACTGACATCTAATGTAGTAAAAGTAAGTGCTGTGATTTTGCTCAAGTCTCAGTGCTGAGTTCTTGAAGACCCGAAATTCAGGTGAGTTAAGTACGCATCTTGGCTGTGCTCGCTGCTTCGCAGTGGGCTTGCTGCTCCTCTGTCCCCTGTAGAGATAATCCACCCGTGCACCTCACCATCTCTCTGCTTCAGGCCAGGTAGCACAGGTACCAGGCATGTTTTCACGCTAGGAATTTTTATTAAGAGGGGCTGGATTGCTGCTCTCTGCCCCTGCTAGCTAATTCTGTAAGGATCTCATCCACCAGAGCATGCTCGAAAAAATGAGTATTTCGACCAGGTTTTAAGTTATTATAAGTGCTAGTATTATCTTGGACTGGAATATGTATTTGCTGTCTTCTGTCTGCTATGATGAGCAAGCCTGCAGGTTGTTATGTTAGTGGTAAGCACTTACCGTTTTAATCTTTCTTGTTCATTCAACAGTTACTTTACTGTCATTTATGGGAAACAGCAGTGAATAAAACTGGCCTGACCCTGCCCCACGCTGCCTACAGTTGATTGCTCATTCTCTGAAGGTCTTTTTTGTTCGTTTGATTTTTGCGTTTGTCTTCTTTTTAATCTTCATTTTTTTGACAGTTTAATATGTGTATAGAATGCATTTTGATCATGCTCACCTCGTTACCCTTTCTTAAGTTTTGTAATTCATTGTAGTTTTTATTCTTCTCTCGCAAAGGACTCTGTAGATGGAGAGCTGACTGCTGAGAACTCCCAAGTTAGATAGGATTAATGATGTTTTAAAGCAGTGCTCCAAATACGTGGTACGCCTCCTTCAAAGTTGAGTTCAGTTATATAATCTAGTTCATCTCCCGTTCTTCAACATTTTATTACTTTATCATACATATAGAGTATTATCGCTGCTGAGTTTCCTTCTGTGATCCACCCTGTTTATTCTCTACGGAAAGTATTTTAAGCACATGTTGACATCTTTCTGAATTGTGAGCCAGTGGTTTGTTATGATTCGTATAAGTGGGAGCAAAGCTTTGGTGATTCTTAGCAAAATCTCTTTGACTTTTTAAAATGAAAAAAATTACCAGTGCAGGTAAGTGTCGCTCAGGCTTTGTAACTGACAAAGCAACTCTCAGAACTGTGGGGCTGAAATACAAAAACTGTTTCAACTTCTCATAGAAATCAATTTCAGCAAACCCTCTGAAGTGCAATTTGCTTGCTTGTTATTTTTCTTCATGAGCCACTATCTCCTCAGAATAAAATAAAACGTAAGAGGATGAACTTCCGTGCCCAAGCATAGACTCTCTCCCCCAGCTACCGCTGCTGTCTAATGCAGAGTCACCTGCGGAGTAGGGTAGAGGAGGAATCCGCAGGGCTGGACGTGTTCTGAAGTCACAGCATAGAGTGGGTGTGTGTGCTCCCCCCTTCTACAGTCCCTCAGACAAAGGCACAGAGGGATTCCATCACTTAAGTAATGAAACCAATCTTTGATAAAGTATTTAACTAGAAAAGGGAAGCATGAATGTAAGTTTTCTGGGATACAGACTTAGAGCAGTGATGATACCACCACCCCCGCCGGACTCAGAATACACAGATAAGTGTAGTTAACATTTTAGTTCAGCGTACATAAATATAAGCTGTGTTTATTTTTTTATATTTATTCTGTCCAAATCTAATTAACTCCTGATTTCCTTTGTTTAGGGAAATAATGAATAGTTCTTTGAAATTATTTGGCAATTAATAAAAATTCAAAGTAGGGTAAAATTTAGAGAAATTAATTTAGGAGTTACATTATAAGATAAATTAAGTTAACATGGTGGCTTTATTTGCAGTTTTATTTCTGGTTATAAGCTATATAGCGGGGGTAATTTGTAGACAGTTCTGTTTGTGGACTGTCTGAAATCCTTAACCACTAAGGCCTTTCTGTTATGAAATGCCCTGCACTGGTCAGCATAGGTAGAGTGTGAACATGTTTAGAGTGTGAACGTGTTTAGAAGGCAGTAAGATTTATAACAAAAAATACACAGATTTGTTATTTGCTAGTCAACTTTGGTTTTAGAATTAATTCTACCCAAATCATGCACTCAGAATTGCTAATTATTTTAATGGTTAATTAAATTATTAAAAAATTACCTTACAAATTGTCTTTTAAACTTTTTTCTTAGTTATTACTTCCTTTTGGAATTTTTTTTGGGCAGTTCTCATATAAAAATGATAGCACTGACCCTCCTTCCAAACTCAAGTGTATGTCAGGATTTCTCCACATGCAGGTTGTCTTGCTAACCTGCCCTATCACAGATCACAGTAGAATGGAGATGAGATAGGAGTTGGCGCCTAAATCCTGTCTTGACCACACAGACAGCAGCACGTAGTTCACTAGCAGTGGGGGTAGATGCAGCCATCTCGGTCACTGACTGCAAGGAAAGGCCAAAAATGAAAATACTCTTTATAAAGTATTTACATTATTCAGGAACTTTTATATTCATAATTACCACACCAAATATTCAGTGTGTGCCCTGGGCAAGTAAGTATTGACAAAACTAATGTTGCTATTTTGCAATTTTAATGTTCTTCCACTTATGCATGTCCTATGCTTGATAAAAATGGGGCTTTTGCTTGGACTTTAAAAAATACCTTTATTTGTTTAAAGTTTTATTTTTTTAAATAATGTGAATAATAATAATACTGGGTTCTATATACTTAGTAATTTTGTAATGATGCTTGAATGTCCTCTATTAAATATTTTCTTTCTATATTATTTTTACATATCATCAAATTCTGAAAGTAAGTGAGGATTTTAAGAAATATTATTAGATTGTTATACAGCTTGAAAAGTTAGATTGTTATACAGCTTGAAAAGTTTTAAACCGAACCTGTCGTCGGCATATCCTTTTGTTATTGGTTTTTAAGTATTTGATTTTTATTGCCCCTCACGCTCTTCTAATCAAATGCTTCTGAGTACTTAAGTGAAAGTAATCACAGCGTACTAACCACTGCCTTGTGTTCTTTGTGATACTTGTAGGTCTCTTTTACTTTATACCATTGTTATGCCATTTCCTTTCATCATAAATATCAACACAGTGTGTATATATACTGTCAGTCAGCTAAAGACCTAGCTGCCCGCTGGCATCTTTAAGATATCTTCAGGTTTTTCAACAATGATCTCATGCAAAAAAAGTTTTGCCTTTTCCCTGACACCTGGCTCTTGTAGCAAACCTGTATTTAATGTCCCTCACATGTACCTGGAATCTGAACAGAGGGTGGTTGCTACATTCCAACCAGCCTTACACCATTCTTCAGTTTAAATTGGCAGTTCTGCAAGTAGCCCCAGTCACAAGTGTAGGCAGTGTGGGTAGCAATGCTGAGATGAGGTTTCCAGAGGCACTCTCCTGACGAAACTGAGTTTGTATCTTCCATCATATTAAGCTTAATAACTCTTCACTAATTTTGTTTGCAGTCAGTAACTCTAATAGCCATTTCTTTTGGTTAGATTCCTTTTTTATTAACAAGTGGGGAATCATTCAGCATCACAAATTGGCTTTTTTTTTCTAGGTAATGCTGTTTTTTTCTTTTTATGTGTGCATTTATTTGGCCATGTAAAGTGTGCTTACAACTAATCAAAACAAGCAGTTGGTGGGAATTAATGCACGACTCATCGGCAGAGTGGAATATAGCATGCGCTCTGAAATTGCAGTTTGTTCACGCTTTAGTTTCTGTCCTTTACACTCCAGTTTCACTTATACTATAATCCATTCTGTTTCTACTTCTTCATAGATTGGCCAAAATGGGAAGGGCTGGATTCTGCTCTCTTCCACGAAGAGTTAATGGGACTGGCTAAGATCAAAGTCTGAGGCTTTTTCCATCCTTAATCAGGTACGCATTGAACAAAAATCACTAGTTATATGCATGTGCCTTTAAAGTATTCAGTTTATAAACATTGTGAATATAATTTTTATTTGATGTTATGTTCACAACTTTATATTTATCCTGAAATTTTAAATGTACCTATAATAAGTAATTTGAATTTTGTAATGGATTAAAATATAAAAGCGTTATCAGCCATGAAAATTTTCAGCTGGTCTTAGAAAAGTGTAATATTTGCTATCAGTGTGCTTCCTCATTGCTCAGTATGTACATCCAGAAACATCCATTCATTACTTCATATTGAGTACCCCGGTTTAATACAGATGCGTTCGTGTTGTTTTATGGTGCCCTTTTAGTGTCTTTTTAGGGAGGAGTTGCATTAAAGTTGTTTTTCTCTTCTGGGATTCTCAGCATCATAGCTGTGTTGCTACAGTGGTGATTATGACCAGTGTTCAGACCTAGTTATTTAGACACCTTACATTCCCTTTTGATCCTGCAATTGCAAAATGATTGACGTGATCATAGTCTCAGTACGTCTATGAAAGCATCTAGTGAGGAAATCACAATGAAAATCAAAATTTTATACTAATTCACTGTCATTATTGATCTGTAGAGTAGCTCTTACCCCTAACATGGAGGGAGGCAAAACATCTGTCCTTTGAATGAGCTCATAACAGGAAGAGAGCAAGTCTTTGAGCTTCAGAAAACCCATAGCCAGAGCTAACAGCTGCATCAGTGCTGTGATGTCAACGCTAACAGCTCGTCTGTGCTATATCAGAGCTAACAGCTACCTTAGTTCTGTGATGTCAGAGCTAACAGCTGCATCAGTGCTGTGATGTCAGAGC